GCGTTGAAGGGCAAGTAGCTTGGCTGCTACTCGCTTCTCGATGACTTGAGTGGGGTCTTTGGGTAGAGGGCGGTATGTACCAGATGAGAGGATGTCATGTACCTTCCTGTTGTAGGATGTTCGGTCTATGACTACGGTGGCGTTGCCTTTATCGGCCGTGATGATGTGGATTGTCTTGTCGTTCCCAAGGTTCTTGAGGGCTTCTGCTTCAGGCTTGGTGAGGTTGAACTTGATGGGGTTGGTGTGACGGGTGACTTGGTTGATCTTGACCCTGATGTCATCGGCTGTTTTCTTGTCAAGCTTCCGTAATGCTGGTTCGGTAGCTTGGATGATGTTGGCCGAGGGGATGAAGCGGGGCGGTGTGGCAAAGTTCATGCCTAGGGAGAGGACATCTGTCTCCGTGTTAGACAGGGTGCGTTGACTAAGGTTGATGACATTGTGTCGTCGGAATTCGTCTTGGTTCCGGAGGTGAACTGGTAGTGATGCGGGTGTAGTAGGGTTGCGGGATATAGATGATCCCTTTGCCCCCGCATATTGGAATAAAGATATAGACGATCTCATCTTCCGGTTAGTGAGACGAAGGAATTTCCGGATTTGCTTGTTGCAGGATGTGTTGAACGCATGAAGACTGGAGGACTGGGTGAGGGAGGAGACCTTGATGAAATCTTGATGTCGCAGAGTCGACTTGAGGGTAGCTTTCATGTTGGCGATATCCTTGTCCAGGTGGCCGAGGGTGCATCTGGTATAGCTGATGCGCTCTCGGAGTAGGGCTTGGCTGGCTGACAGTAGGATGCAGTTGGATCTAAGGTTGCGGACTGGGTCGTGGAGTTTGAAGCCTGGTGGGATGATGTTCGAGTCGCGACAACGTTTGAGGAATGTTAGGTTGTTGATAAACCCCGAGCGTCGGATGGAGGAGCGCTCGAAAGACCTAACTTGTCGAACTGAAGTAGGAAGCATAATCCCTAAACAAAAGGACCGTGCGTGCCGCCGGGTTGTGAATGATAATCCCTAGACAATGGAGTGTACATAGTGGGTGAGCTGTGTCGGCGAACTATCGTGTTAATAACGAGCTTTTGTTGTGCGACGGGGAGCGCACTAGTACGGGGGATTACGTGGGCTCGGTGCGTTCTCGCACCCAAGCTCCCCTTGTATGTTGAAGCAGTTTCGTACACGACGCACAACGGGTACTGTATGCGAGGACGCCCTCCACGTTAAAGTGTAAATAGTGTTTACATTCGATTGTGTCTAAAGATGGCGAACCTTCGTAAAAAGGCAGGAGATACTTACCGTTGCTTATTTTTCTCATATATTAGACGATTTAGAATTCGTGCCTTATATGATATGAATGCTCCCACCAATATTGATTAACAGTATGATGGATGTCGTTTCAATTTAGATAGATTCAACGATGATGAATGTAACGGCTATTACAGGTAAGACTAAACAACGAACAGAGGCTAGCCTAGATTTACATAATAGGCACAGCCTTAGAGCCTACTGTTACTAAGGCCTAGACAAGTACATATACTAGTATTAAACTCAATAAATTATTACTAATAACACTAGTCGGAAAGAATTCCCTTGATGGCCATAACGGAAAAAGGGTCATATATCCTCTTAAAAACGTCCTCTGCCGGTTCCATAGGGTTGCCGAGGTATGGCCGTCGGCATGGTCAGTGGAATTCTTCCCCACTAGCCTTTGCGTGACTTTGTTACTTAACTTTGATCCCGATTTCTCCAAATTGCAAAGATCAGAAAACATTTTCGGTGGAAATAAGGCATCTCACATTTGACATGTTTGACTTTGAGGGAAGACGTCCTTTTGAGACAGCCATCCAAAAAGAAAAAAAAATTATACTTGGTAGGAAATTAATATCTTACCATATATAATTGTAAATAATGATGAATCCAATGGTGCACATGAGTGGGTTAAGGTTAGGGTTAGGTCAATATGATGATGTTTAGGTGGCTCTCTCAAGAGGAACTCTTTCCGATTTTGGTTATTTTCTGACTCGGTGATGATGAATTTCTTATGTACATAACAGACCATTAAATTGTCCAGTGTAAGGTTAGTAACAGTGATATTGTGCATTCTGCACTCCACAGATTCCAGAAAGCTGACATTTTCAGGCTTAAACATACTTTGAGAGTACCACAGATTATCATTTTGACTAATAATTCAAAAATTGATGGACTGGAGGCCTTGTGCATCACCCTCAAAAGGTATGTGTATCCATGTAGATATGGAGATCTCGTGAAGGACTATGGCCGTTCAGTTCCTCAGCTGTGCTTGACTTGCAATTGGATGACCAACTTCATCTTCGACAATCACAATCACCTGGTTTCCTCGTTAGATCAACCTTGGTTATCGCCCCAGAGCTTGAAGACGTTTGCTGATTCAACACATAGAAAAGGTTCTGCCCTGAGCAACTGTTGGGGATTTGTTGATGGGACAGTGAGGCCAATATGCAGACCAAGTCAGCATCAGCAGGTCATGTATAACGGGCACAAACGGATCCATGCGCTGAAGTTTCAGTCAGTTACAACCCCCAATGGCCTCATAGCCCACATGTACGGACCAGTAGAAGGTAGGAGACATGACGCATATCGTCTGCGTGAATCTGGGCTCTTAACTGAGCTGGAGGCAAGATCATATGATGCAGAAGGGAACACATTGTGTTAATACGGTGATTCTGCCTACCCACTGCGTCCACACCTACAGACTCCTTTCCCTACAGTACGCATATCACCAGAGCAGGAGGCCTTTAACGCTGCCATGTCTAAAGTTTGCATTACTGTTGAGTGGTCATTTGGGGAGATCTTGAACTTCTTCAAATTCACCGATAACAAGAAGTCACAGAAGGTTCTCTTGAGTTCTTGTGGAAAGATGTACATTGTTTCGGGACTGTTGACAAATGCACATACATGTGTGTACAAGTACAATACATCTGACTACTTTGAAATTGACCCTCCATCCCTGGAAGAGTACTTTCAAGTAGTGTAGATGGTTTTTCCATCATTATTCTTGATTCCATTTGTTTGTGAATGTAGTTTTAACAGAATGTTCAACAGTACAATTTTTCCTTCATTTGTTTGAATACATGTACATGTATGTTCAAATGAGTATGTTCAACATGCCAGAACAGGTGAAATGTTATACAGTCTTTCTTGGCTCTTTTGTTGTATGTATAAAAACATAGCATTCATTTGATACCAAAATATGGCCTCTCACCTTATTTAAGATTTGATCTGTAACTGAAAAAAGTAACCTGTGTCTCTGAAGTTGTGGGGTGTGAAACTTTGCGAGGAAAACAACAAGGTAGATAAATAAGAAAAAGGAACTTGAAATACATATGAATGTAAATAACAGACAAGCGGTTTATTACATTTCAGATCCTTGAATTGCATATGGATTAGAAGAACGGTACTCATTAAATGTTAACATATTTTCAACAACCTCTGGACTGGTTTTTCCCTCACAATTTTTTTTCTCTCAGTCTTGAATCATTTGAATGTATTTTGGGGAGCTATAAAATTCACATTTAATATACATGTATATGCTGGAGCTGTCTACACTATAATTGGTTTTTTGTATGCATTACTGCATCATGGGAAAAAGTAATAATATATTTTGGGCAGCACATCCACATGCACAAGTGCAGAAGGCATTACAAAATCATTAAAATTGATGTGAATAACCACGTTTAATTTACGATGGGCTTTGATGTGTCTCTCTTACTGCATGATTTGAATTTAGTTTGTTTGCAGAGAGATATAAGAATTATTACCCAAGATACTCGACATCTTAAAAATCAACACAAAATATCAGGGCCCAAAGTTATTTCAGATAATATGAGTACATGTACGCTATCACCTAGAAGAGCATGAGGTATGAGAAAGTACAGTCAATGAAGNATGTGATTACTCATGTTAACATTTTAAAAATTTCAAAAGATAAATAAAACCTGCAAAAAGAAATGTATAATGAAAAACATGAACATGAAAATTGCTATAACCATGCATAAAAAATTGCACAACTAACGTCATAAAAAATTATAAAGGTTAAAATTTTGATTTTAGTAAATGTAAATTTCAGATTTATCAATAAAGGTGACCATCAAACAATTCTATGAGCACACAAATCCTTCACAGCTGAAAGGTGAATACATGTATGTGAATTAGTTTAGAAATAACATGAATCCACTCTTTCAATCAGAAAATTGTGAAAAGTAAACCATTGTGGAAAACTGTCAACATAGGCAAGGAAATTATCAATTGCATAAAAGATTTACCGGTATGTGAGAAAAAATACACTGAAAATGAGTGAACACTGGTGACTGTTCACCCAATGTCCTGAAAGATGGCAAAATAATATTGCCAAACTTTAGGGATATTTCATTGAATTTGCTTTGTAACTCTGATGTGGTCCAAAGTAGCAACGTGACTGCTATAAACATCTAAGATCAGCTGCATGTGAAAAAGTATATATTTGGTGCCTCAACAAAATATGACTTCATGTACATTTCTTTATTAACATGAAAGCTAACACACTAAGAAATATAAGAAAGAAGAAAATGTAACACATACTTTTAACTATTAACTATTGATAACGTCAACTTTTTAGCACACATAAAAAACCTTAGTTGTTGAAAAATTACCCTGAAATATATTTCTCACAAGTTAACAGCCCATCTGCTGTACACTAGAATGAAATGATGCAAAGAGAAGAGAATTGACGTGATAAGCATTCAAAGCATCAATGATATTTAATCCTTCTTCACAAAATTGAGAAGTGCCAGCATGAGGGATTGCGACTGTTGGTTTTGCTGTTGTATTTGTTGTTGTTGCTGGAGTATTTGCTGCTGTAGTTGCTGTTGGATCATTTGCTGCTGTAGTAAAACTTGCTGCTGTTGAAGAGTATCTCTGCTCCCTTTCTCTCTCTTCTGCCCTCCTTCTTTCTGCCTCCTCTCTCTTGCACTCCATCTCCTCCTTGTGTAACTGTTGATATCCCTGTATCTTTTTCTGAAGAAGGCTCAAAGTTTCATTCCCACTGTTCCTCCTCCTTGGCGTGGTACTGTTTTCACCATGATGCCTTAACAACACAGAGAGAAAACAAAAAAGCAAGAATAATACCAGGGTAAGGTTAACAGTGAGTGTCTGCCCAACTGACAACCAACAATTAATTATCAACATCAAAAATGAAATAGTTTAAAACTGCTAATCGGTCATGTTACAGTGCAATTAATTGTGTTGTATATCGATTGGACAGAAAATCATTGATAGAATTTGTTAATTACCTTTTCTGTGTTTCCCCATAAGTTTCACAGGCACGTTTCCGCATCTGAGCACCGTAAGCCTTCTTTTTCTCCTCGTCTCCTCTCTCATTTAGTGCCATCTCGATGTCCTCTTCCTCTTGTATGAGGTCCTCGATGCCCTCCCTTATCCTCTTTTCCTCATCTGTCTCTTCAACTGCTAATCCACTAGTTGCCCTTTCTACCCTATTTTTGTCCTTCACTCGTTCCATGAGATGGCTCATCCGATAGCGAACTGCTCGTCCGTCAACTTTGAAGTCACGAGTCTTCATTGCCTCAGCCACTGCCTTCCAGGCCTTCCCCCTCTCAATGGTCCCCTTCTTAACCTGGTAGGGCCTTGCCAGTATGACCTCACCAATTAGAATGAGGTCTTTGTGATTGTCCCATACCATGCTGAATGAAATTACAACAAAAGAAGGAAAGCAAATCAATGAAAATGGTGTATACAATTATACAATTCAGTGAACATGTTTGTGGCTAAAGTCACAAAAAATTTATGAATTTTAATGGTACTGATGATAAAAAACACTGCAGGAACCGGTGTTTTTCTTGAGAATTTACATCAGACTCTTAACCTTGACATGTAAACATTTGGGATTTTAAAAGAAAAGTAAATGTATATTTAAAGTTCACAAGGAAATTTAGATAAACTGCAGTACCACCATTCATGAGCTGTAATGTTACGTCACTTGCATTTAGCAGTTCATCCATGATACACAGGAAAAATAAAAAAGGTAACCTACCGACTGATGTTCTTGTGTTTCCTAGGTGGAACATCATTGACTGGTTGTGGGTCCGTTGTAGCTCTGGTTGTTGTTTGGTCCTGTTGTATTGGGGGAAAATTACAACCAATGTCTAAAAATATTACTAAAATGTTACAATAAAATAAGCTAGTCCAAAATAACATGCAGAATCTAGCTTGAACATTGCTTGCCTAGCAACCACTATTTGAAAATTGAAAGCTTTCAAATTAGTCCTCATTCCTTTTTAGGGTATTAACGGTAATAAATGTACTATAGCATGGGGTAGGCAACTAACCTCATGAACAGTTTAGAGGAAGGAAAACATAATACATTCACTGATCTTTATAGGCCTAAATGCGTTTTTGCCCAGTAAGTTTCCCTCCTGCTTACAAATCCGACTTTCTCCAGTCTGCGTCAAACACATTGAACACGGTATCATTTCATTCTTCATAACAAAAAAACTGAACATAGGACATCATTTACCGGTAACGTATCGTTGGTTTCCATCTTGCACTGCATTAACACTGCTGTATGTCGATTTCCACGTGTCTGACATCTCGCGTGCACACAACTATGCATAACTCAATGCTCGGCCTTCTATTTTGGACCCAACGTTATTTCCCCTCACGACGGTTCCAGATATATGAGCAGGACGGAGACTTGCAGAATGTCGCGCATGCGCAGAAAAATTTTTGGCTCACATTACCGTACTAGATTTCTCCCGTCGCAAAACGAAAGCTCGCTAATGATTACATTGTGTACGTTGGAAGTGAGCGTTGGTCCACTCAACCTTTGGACACTAAAGGAGGGAGGGTGCCCAAGTGCTAAAGGTCTTGCGTGAATTGTATTTATGCAGCCAAGCCCTGTGCTTGTCACCAGTGTCACAAATGCTTCGGACGGAAGTTTAATCTAGAGAGGCGCATGGGAAATATCTTGAGGAGGAATCGGATATGAAATGAAGCCGACGAAAGCTCAGATTCTGTTGATGAGGTCGATGACAAAACCTCGGACGAAGACAGTTCGGATTTCGAAGACAATGCCGCCTACCAAGATTGGCTGGCTGAAGCTAGAGAAACACATAGGGAGATGATGCATGAAAAATATGTCAACAAAGGCATGGATGAAGATCAGGCCAGGCAGAAGGCAAACAGAAGACCCTCTAAGCAGTCAAACAAGACTTTTTCGACAACTCTAAGGAGTTCCTGTCGTGCTACCTATATTTGCGGGAAAATGAAACTCACAAGGACATTGTGGATGATGTTGAAGGAAAACTTGATAAAGGCATGAACGTCAGCAAAGCCTTGAACAGAGTTTTGCCTAAACATGCTGAAAAATTTGCCAGACTGATTCATGACGAAGAGGAGCATGCCTAAACGATAACAGTCTGTAGAGACAAATGGTTCCGAAAAGAATGAGTACATGTAATTCCTTTGAATACAAAGTTAACAAACTTCCGGTAATCACCCTAGTAGTAATTCTTAAAATTAATAAGATAATTATTTTAAAAAATCAATGATGAACGACGGAAAATAAAACGGTACCAGTAGCAACCTACTAGAAACCAATATGTGAAGTCCACTGAACATGTTTTCTGTTATACTTATCGGTATGAATATAGAATAATAATTCTCAGGTCGGATATTGGCCGGAGCTTCTGCACATTATTCCACAGCACGACAACTAAATTTACTCCTTTGCTACGTGTTAAAAATCCCCAACTGACGTCATGCTGCCCCCAAGAATTCTTAATTTTATATAATTCTTTATTTTACATTTAAGTCCCACAATAAAGAGTAATAAGTAAGTAATAAATAAGTAACGCTCCGCTCTGACTGAATTTGTAAAACGTATACATGTACGGGGTATTAAACCACCGTAAAACATCCGTTCAAAGAATTTAAAAATTCTGCCAGAGCCTTAATCAAATACATTCACAGGGAAAAACCGTAAACACTCTAGTTCAAAAGAGTAAAAATTCAGCGAGGGAAAACTAAGTCTTCTCCCGTATCGATCAAATCTTGGTAGCCATAGTAAGATAAACGCAAGACCGTTCGCACGTCGGCACCCTCTCTCCTTTAGTGTCCAAAGGTTAAGTGGACCAACGCTCACTTCAAACGTACACAATGAAATCGTCAAAACGATAGTCCGCCGACACAGCTCACTCACTATGTACAGACCATTGTACTGTATACAGGCACGCACAATCCTTTTGTTTAGGGATTATGCTTCCTACTTCCTAATTACTTTTGGACCTCCTTGTGGGCCAGTCAGTATGCCATCACACACGATATGACTAGTCCTGTTTCACCATGTTGTCCTATGATTTCATAAGCAAGGTAAAATAGTACCAAAAATGTTTACACTGTGCAGGGTCTTATTCCTATTTTATCCCATATACCAAGGTCAACCTGTACTATAATATTTGACCTTTTCCTCATTCTTATTCATATTAGTATATTATTATTATACGTATGCATATTTATGACCTTGTTCCTTTTCTGGGCCAAAGGTCAAATTGTACCAAACTGACCCCCCCCACTACTAGGATATACTTCAGCTTTGGAATTTCCCGTTCAGACGACATTTTATGTATTACATGCCTTTTTTTTCAGCATTTGTTACAAACGAAACAAGGTCTGTGTTCATATTCTTCCGGCCATCAAGACTCTTGTGCAATTTTTTTGTGCTTTGGTTTCATCAGGGAATGCCATCTTCGTACAGTTTCTCCGGCGATTACTTGGGCTGATAACTGCCTCTTGGACCGTTCCATTGATGCTTTCATGTTTGCGTCTGTCATAGTCTTCTCTCGTATCTTTTTTGATATAAAGAAATAATTTAAAATACGTTTTTATATGGATAAAGATTTGAATTCTTTTTCTAACTGCAGGCAGAAGAATTTGCTGCAATATGTGGAGCAACCGTGATAATTGAAATTTACCCAGAGAAGGGAAAACCCTGCTACTTTTCTACTGCTGGAGAAGTCAGAAAGCGGCATTTCATGGGACAGTTTGGTCCTAGTTTTGTTGCATGAGCAAGGGCATCCAAAACCTCAGCTAGAGCTACAGCTTCGGCCAACAATACACCAACAGAAAGGAAGTTGTTACCAGAGGACACCAGCACAGCAGAAGTGGTAGGATTGCCACGAAAGTCAAGCAGCAGGTGTCGTGTTTGTAGTGTAGCTTTTGATAGCAAGAAAGATAAATTACTTAGAAAGGCACACAAACTGGCAGCAACGTGGTTAGGGTGCCAAGAGGAAGACTGCTCGTTTTGGGCACACGTCATGTGTGTCAACATAAAAGTGCCTGCAAGAGGGAGGGTGGGAGACATTGATAAGTTGTATTTAAACGTGTGCCACTTTGATCATTTCATGGGTGATAGTTGCAGAAAAAGATGTGATCCCCTTCATGTGCCTCTCCCCCGAATCCACATTGCCTATGGACGTGTATCTTCTTATGGGTTTCTTTTAACATACCTTCCATGCGCAGTTTGCGTGCCTGTCATTTAGATGAAATGTGGATAATTGATGATTTGTCAAAAATATTATTGTGTATGTATATGTTGTCGTAAGATTACTTTTATTAAACATGTATGTACAGTCAACAGTGCTGTAGGCTTGTGTTGAAACAGACTTGTCAAACGAAACTTTTAAAGGAACTGACTTCACATACAGGTACATGTATCTCAATCTGGAAACTTCACTTGTTGTAATAAAATTGTAACACAATGAAAAAACGTACTTATAACAGTCTGTGCCCGCGGACTATACTCTTTGCAATCTGGTCGCAAGAGGAGGTAACGCAAGTGCTAGAATAAGAGTAAACTCCTTGAACACAGCTGTTAGAGTCACAAGGGTCTCGACAGAAGCCTTTAGTTTAATTCGGTTAATCTCAGTCAAAACTCAATATGCTCAATTTGTTCCAAAATGCTCCAAAGGGCTCCATAAGTCTCCAAAACGCAAAGGTTGTAAGACGCAGAAGGCTCCGTGAAAACGCCTTGCACCCTTCAAAACTCTACAGGGATTCGCTGGGTTCCAGAAGTATGACTTAGTTTTTTGGGAAACGTCGGGAAAAGAACGTAAATACGGCTTCCATTTATATGCGGTCCGTTAGTGTGTTCGGGGATTCAACCTGTGCTCCAATAATGGTTGCATGAGGGCGCCGTCACAATGAAAACGAGTAAACTGCATCAACAGTACTGGTTATCTTATGTTGATTTAAACACACATGAGCATTTGTGAGTATGACTGTACAAATTCTTTGAAAAAAGTACATTGTATTGTAATAGTAGTTTGTATTAAAATTAATGGATAAATACCTGATCACGCATATCCCGGTATAGTATATCTTGATATTTTGGGTGGTTTTGGCGATCTGACAAGGTCTCAAATCTGATGCGCCGGCACATTATAGTTGCAACATCGTTGTGGCGCGAGCTCCAACAAGAGCACAAGGGTATGGAGGTAAGTAGTACCATCTGCTGGATGTAATAGTAGTTTGGGTCAACATTCGATTTGCACCAGTCCTAGTATTCTTGCACAGTAGTTACTGTTGCGTTAGCACAGCATTCTCTAACATATGGCAGTAGTAGTTTCTGTGTCAGGCAAAAGTACATTATCTGAACTAAATCCCATGTTTTGTTGTGATTGCTCCCCTTCTTGCAGTTTTTTGGCTTTCCTGCGCTCAATTCAAACGAAGTAAGCAATGTTGCTGACAAAAGCATCCCAACTCAGTTTTAGAAACGACCTAGCGACATTCATTTCCAGTCCCACGATGGGCACCACCCAGTCAAAGTCCCTTACCAGGGGATGTTCTCCATGTAAAACAAAGCAGCGGTGATTATCAGAGTTGATCAGAGAATTATGTGAGGCACTGAAGCCAGATAAATACATAATCCAATATCCCTCATTATTTTGTACGGAAGACCGTCGCATTCCAGAAACCTTTATAGTGTGCTGTATGACGAAGATGGACTACCCAAGCATTTTAACGTTGATGCTTGCTTGCTGTTGGTCCATGTATAGGTGACCAGAGATTAAATTACCTGAAAGATAGCAGATAATAAGTTTATTCAACTGCCTTTGTAATTTTTTCAAATAAAATTCTAAAATGAGCGTGAGTTGGCGAGAGCCAAGAATCTTTGGTGCCGAGCGAGCCTGCTCGACCGCTACATTTGGTGTCAGAAGTGGGATGTTTAAGGGCATAAAATTAAACAGAAAATATTGGTATTGGTGTATATTATTCCCGTAATACCTCCTTTATAGTGAGCTTGCTCGGAAACTTCCTTCAATTGCACATCCGCTGGAGGCGCTATTGGCTAGCGTGTACTCTTCGTCTGTAATGCGTGTCATTACGAGATTCTGTATGAAAGAAAATAATTCGTTATGTGTCATTCAATTTGATTTGTAATTGCACTTCCACTGTTGGGCTACCTGCAGGCATTAGAGTCAGCCCTGTTGTACATTTAAGTATTTGTGGTCTATGTATGTAAATCAGCTGTTGTTATGGCTTGTTTTTAGGTTGCTGGTATGGCTAAACAGGCAAGTGACATGGAGACTTTGCCGTCCCCTTCAGACGGCGAGACAAAAGTATTTGGTGGCACCGACGGTAGTGGTGACACAGACGATGTAGAGATAAAATTGAATAAAATTATGCAGCGGGTAAAACTGCAAGAAATAGAGCTGCGACGTTCCTTTGATGAGTTATCAAGGAGGCGGCAGCAATCTAACAAGTCCCAGGCAGGGAACACACAGGTTATATTGGGTTTGTTTGCACAACCGGATGCAAACAATCCGGAAATTTATTTTGGA